AGTGATGTAACTTGATTACATTCTGTTATTTTCTGATCGCCTCAACATCAAATGCAGTGCAAAATAATTGAAAGAGAAAAAGATGGATATTATTATGTGTATTATGCACCAACAACACAATGTAGGCTAGGGTAAGGGGAATCAGACAGTAATCTGATTAGTTTTTTTTTTTTAATTGTAACTGTAAGGAAATGCTGTTAACTTTTTTTTATCGTGGTTATCCCATTACATTTAAGCCTGGAAGCCCTGGTAGGTCTTCCCTGTTTTTGTACACAAACATCATCATCCTATTTACACATATTTATTGCTGACCTGGATATTTCCCGCCAAACAAAGTCTCCCCCCCCCCATCCATGAAAACGGCGAGAGCGGTTTAGCTAATGAGCATCTGATTGTGCAGATTACGCATGTTCCGTTGAGGATTACTGCGACTGAAATGAACAAATTGTCCTCTTACCACTGAAATCCCACATCAGCATGACACAAGATGAGCAGAGTGAGTGCAAACTGAATCTGAAATGGGAGAGCAAAAGCCGTAAAACAAGTTGCAGTCAGCAGCATTATTTTTAGAAAAAACATCAGTGTTTTATTTGTGTCTTCCCTGTTTGCAGACACTGATGACTCTATAGGTGAACACTCAAGCCATGGCATGATTGCCTCTGAGGCTTTATTTAACTCAATGTAAAAGTGAAATAAGCAATAGAAATGCATAAGCTATTTTCTCTACCTGGCAGCGTGTCATTTGCATTGATGTCTGCATGGGCGTAATTTCCACTGGGGACAGGGGGGACATTTCCCCCCCCCACTTTTCAAAATCCCGTTTGTGTCCCCCCCACTTTTCAAATGTTTTTTTTTTTACGCAAGTCGTCATCGTCACAGAGGAGCGTCTGTGTGTGTGTGGCAGGAGCGCATTTTGTGTGAGAGTGAGAGAGAGAGAGAGAGAGAGAGAGAGAGAGAGACCGAGAGAGACAGGGAGAGACAGAGAGAGAGACAGAGAGAGTTATGGGGGTGGTTGTTAGCATCTGGTGCTAGCTCGGAGCTAACGGAGATTAGAAGCTGCTTCAACAATAAGGAGAGGGTGAGTCCTCTCCTGTCGGACTGAGAGGCTGAGATAACATCAGCTCAGGGAGGTAAAGGACTCGCTAAGTGAGTATATTGTAAACTTTAGTCCAAGTTATCTCAGTGGGTCTCAAACGGTTTGGTCTAAACAAATATTTCCATCTATTTAATATAGTTAAGTAAAAAAATAATTCCAATGTCAGTAAAAAATAAAAAACACAGTTTGAAAGGGGAGTGATTAGTAAATTATGCATAAATAAAAAGAAAGAATGCAGACTAGGTAAGATAAAGATAGGAGAGAGGAGTATATCAATGATTTGTTATTGGTTGTGAGCATATTCTAATGTTTTTTGGAGTATTGAAATATATACAGTTCTGTTTCATATGAGTGTTGAGAGCTGTATCCATAAATCTCTTAATTTGTGCACCAGATTGATGCCTTTAACTTCAATTTAAAGAAACAAATCTTACCAGGGGTGCATGCCCCCAGACCCCCCTATAGGATGTGAGGTCATCACAAATAAAACAGGTTCATGGATAGATAAGTTTGCACACTCATTATATACACTACACATTTCTCTTGGATTAGTTAACACCATAGTCCCTAATATATATTTGTAGAAAGGCAGGAAATGGAATTAAATCGAGAGCAATGTTTCATTGCGGAGGACTGTATTACTGTATGTACTGGATTGTGTGTCCCCCACTTCTCAAACCAAAGTTACACCCTTGGATGTCTGGCTCATATTCTAACAACAAATATCAGACTGTGCACCCTGTTCTGTGAGTATTCTTAGCCGAGGGGCAGGCGTGCGTCTTCTTCTCTGGTTCCCTACTGAGACTTCTCTGGCAAGTCAAAGCTATTTAAAAGTCATCTCACAGCGAGAAGTAACAAAAGCTCAATGACAGACCAAGGCCTTATTCAAAATTCAATTTTTCCGCTTTCCCTCCCCAACAATAGAAGTACATAATTTCTCTCCTACGCTTGTTTGGGGAGCGCTCTGGAGAGGAAATAGCATGCTTTTGTTAATAAGTGTCTCTCTCTGTTTCGCTGAGAGAAGACGATTGAAAGGCTTATGTAGGTCACATTGTATTAATCTTCCCGGCTATCCTCGTAAATGCTTTCAAACATGCAATATTAAAAATCCAGTTCATTGCTCATTTCCTTAATGCAGTGCGCTGTACAGTAAATGACTTCTCAGGCGCTGAAATAGTGATCCCATTGCTTTTGCACTTAAGCAGTAAATTACTGGTCTGGATTATCGCACGACAAATGTGACATGCTTGATATCAATCTGACAGAATAGTTCAAACACCCTGCAAAGTGAATATTTAGCAGCGGCAAGACCCTCTAATCCCTCATCGGTAATGAGATCTGTGTGCATTCAAATAATTAATAAACTAGATGATATCCAAATGATTCCGCACGAGATGCAAATGCCATCAATTATCCGTCTGAGTGATTCCACAATCTTAAGCAAACTAGAGATTTCACAAGTCAGACAGGCTCAATGGGAAATGGAACCAAGGCTGTGGTGCACATGAATGTTTTATAATATTGTCAGACTTGTGATTGGATCAATGACATGGTGGCTTCTCATCTGGATGAAGATTCTCTAGGTTTAATAAATCTGATTGACAGGCTCAGTGTGACATTTCAACACATATTTGATTTCCAACGCTGCAGTATGTTCAGGTTATCTGTTGCCGATTAACTATTGTGAACACCGCCGGGCTGCATGATATTGGATGTCCAACATGAACTGCAGAGCGAGACAATAAATCCCTCCTGGGCTGTATAGGAAGAAAAAAAAAGTGCACGGATGAGTTGCTCAGTAATGGGTTTATATCAAAGGAAGATATTGCTGTAAGGTGAAGCTAGCGGCCGACACTGATGTTTTTTGATCAGATGATTAGAGCTGCTTGCCGATTGAGGTTTGCTTTGAGAAAGTAAACATGGTTTCAAAGATTACCAGGGTCAAAACGGAAGCCTCCATCTCTTTGCAGCACATTTCCACGAGTGTGTGTGTGGGACAAAGTAAGACAAAGAGAGAGACAGAAATAGAAGGAGTGTGAGTGTGTTTGCGCATGCATTAAAAAGGCGAGAGAGGTCCTGAGGCAACCTGCACATCTTTTTATCCCATCTTTAATTAATTGAAGCCCATAATAGAAGTTGCTGCAATTCCACTGACTAGACACAGTTGAATGGAAACCAGGCGGGGAAAAGGACATATGTTCCCAATGCTTTTTTAATAATAATAATAATCCATTTTATTTACAAGCGCACTTTTCATTCGAGTAAACAAGTGCTTTTTATCAAGCCTCCCTTGCCATTTCACAACAATCTGCATGTGTAACAGATCTGCAGCCACTGTCAATCTTTGCATGGTGGATGGAATGCATTACCCTGAAGGAAAAGGGTTGTAACCAGTGACGGCTGGTGGAAAATATTTTTGGTGGCGCTGTTGATATAGTGAGTAAAAAAAATGTTTTGGGAGAAATGACCCCTTAAATTAGGACTTCTGGTGATGTAATGGCGCGTTTCCACTGCAGCGCGGAGCTCGCTTTAAGCGTGCCGAGCCGTGTCGAGCCGTGTGGAGCCGTGTCGAGCCGTGCGGGGCCCGTTTTTGGTTGCGTTTCCACTTGGCCTAGTACCGGCTAGCGGGTCCTAATTCACAATTGTTCTGGCCCCATAAAATCATGGTTCTAGGGCCAGGAACAACCAGGCTGAGTCGGGCTAAGTATGCTAAACTAGAGAGAGAATCGCTGGCAAGGGGGCTACAACTACAACAAGATGAACATATTTGACCGTGATTTAATTGTAATACACGTTTCAAAATGATGCCGAAGTAACAACATACTGATACCGGATAGTAAAAACCATGAATTAATGCTTTGACAAGTCTGCAGACAGACGGCAGGCGAAAAACCTTTTAAAATGCGTGTTTTCTAAATGGAGATTGGCTAAGCTAACGTTATATATGCTCCGACCATCCACACTCACAACAACGGCCTATACAGACATAAATAAACCAGCGACTGTATTCTCCATGACACAGGCAGTCTGTGGTTTGTACTTGTTTAACTTTTGTCTAGTTTCTGAACAGATCGTATCTGTCCCCGGCTGTTTGAAGAGCAAGCATGGGAAACAAAAGACAGCATTTACCTGTTTGCATCCAGCTAGCCATGCCTTTCTGGTGTACCAGCTACATGAGAAGCCTCGTTGATACGTTTTGTCTTTTTCACGAGCTTGCTGCGATATATACAAATCGGGTTGGTCCGGTCCAAGGTCTTTAAGCAACAGTTTATCTCCCAAACTTCTCCTTTCGAAAGGATTGGAGATTAGCCCTTGAACGGAATTGGGCGGGGACCGAGGTCCGGAGACTCCACCTGCACATGAAACCATCCTCATCAACTACTGCCGTACTGCGTCACCCCACCGGATACGAGTCACTAGTGTCCAAACTACTCACAGACTGGACCGGGCGCTGACATTGGCGCCCGGTGATCATCAGATTGGACGACGCTGATTGGCTGAAATTATGTTTCGGCATCATAGTTTACAGATAGCAACAGTCAGCTGCTAGTGGCTGCTGCTGCACTGGTTGAGGGCTCCTTTATTACCGCCCAGACGAGAGAGGGTAATGACCATAGACTGTATATATAAAGGGATGACACATGGGCAAGGCCAGGCAGGAAACATGTGACTTATCAGTAACTTTAGACATCGTCGTAACACAATTTTAAACAAGATTTTATTGTAGATACCAATATATAATATTTACCTTGTTTATTAAAAAAAAAAAATTTTTTTTAAAATATATATATTTTTAAATTGTGTATGTGGGAAGAGGTGGGGCGGCACCCCTAGCGCCCCTATGGGCCGGCCGCCACTGGCTTGTAACTGAGTGATTGATGTATCTATTTTCTTCCCTCTCAAGGTTTTGTCTCTGAAGGTCTACCGTAAAAACCGCCATGGTCATCTCGTGGCTCTCCTGCCTCGCCCTCATCATCGGGACCCTCGTCCCTCGGCCGTGCGTTGGTTGCCCGTCCGGCTGTCGCTGCTACAGCCTAACAGTGGAGTGCGGATCTCTAGGGATCAAAGAAATCCCGCATGGCGTCCCCTCTGTAACCGAGGTCAGTTGGCCGATCGACCATAACTGAGGGTGCTAGCTCACATAATGTAGCATGGCAGCTGACCCCCCCCACCCTACCCCATTCACCCTTCCGCATCAGTGCTTTTGTATCTGCTAACTCCCTCTCTGATCCATTCTTATAACCCTGAAATGATTGTGGTTAATCAATTCGCCGTGACCCTCTTTGATGCGAGCCTGAGGGGGGGGGCTGCGCTGTTGCCTGTGTAATTATTCATTCTTGCTCAGAAAGTGACTCTTGCACACTCTCTGATCATCTGTTGAGAAGATGTTAAACATTACACGTCTTTTCCTCCCGGGGTTCAGGCCCCACAACATTACTGCAGCCCATGAATATTAATGAAGACCATAGCGCATAAATTGTGCCATTAACCTCAATCAGCAGGTCTATCTCGTCGATCATTCTTCAACTCAGGGGCCGTGTTTGCTTCCTTCGAAAAACATCTCCAGTGGTTGCACAAGCCATGCATTGTGGGTCAAGCACAAAGTGTGTAGTTCCAATCACTCGAACATTTATTTTTTGTTTGCTGACAAGGTCTGTGATTTCTGCAGCATTTGGCAAAAATAAGTAAGCCACAAAGGAAAGGGAACATGCTGCAGAACCCACATTCTCAGCGCCATTGCTATCTGGAACTTGCTCGTTCCACATTGTTTGTAACATTAACATATATCCAAAGCTCTGCACAGCCCAGTGAGCGCAGACAGCTCTTACAGTGGCCCCGTTGTTAATGTAATCTCTCCTCATGGTTAATACATTTTTCTACTCGGTGAGCACAGCACAGCAACAGGCCACGCTCACACTCCTGTAGAAAACAAATTCAAACATCACATCCCCTCCACTGTGTCTCTAATGTAATTCATTTGTGATCACTCCACTGATTTGATTTACCCTGTCTCCGCTGCAGACCATTTTCCTCCAGGACAACGCTATAGTGCAGATCCGTCTTCAGGACCTGACTCGCCTTGGCAGCCTTCATTACCTCTACCTTCAGAATAATAGCATCTCAGCCCTGGAGCCGGGGGCGTTCCTCAGCCAGGGGCAGCTGCTGGAGCTGGCCCTCAACGGCAACCTCATCCACCTGGTCACTCCGGACATGTTTCGGGGTCTGGAGCACCTCCGGATCCTGTACCTCGCCGGGAATCAGATCAGTAAAGTGCAGGACTACACCTTCAGGGGACTGCAGGTTAATGAGATGAGATAATGGAATGGATTAATGGATGGATGGATACAAATGTTTAAAGTAAGGCTGTCATTAATGGTGTGGACTAATCTGGAAACATGACGTGTTAATCACATTACTAATTTTTACACCAACTTCCTTCCTTAATTCCAGTCCAGGTGTTTACTATGAATATTGTATTGCAATGAACATACAAAGAAAGCTGTGAAATTGGCACAAGCTACAAGTATTATACTGACTGAAGACCACTGTAAGAACGATCACTACCTCAGTGTAACGGCAAACCCATGAAAATGTTCTGAACTCGTTTTCTTTGGGTGCTGGTGTCGGGAAAGGAAAATCTGGACCCAATTGCAAAATGACAGAGGGGAGGCAGGTAAAAAAGTATAAGCATAAATAAAGTGAGCTTTATTAAATTAAAGCTGGTACAAATAAACACTAACTAAAACTGAAGGAACATGCAAGGTAAAAACAAAAGGAAAAGTTGCAAAGCAAAACAAGTAACAAAAACAAGATGATAGACGAGGAAAATCCAGAATGATACAGACAGGTAACCAGGAACTCTGACAGACTGAACCAAACTAGGGAAACAATGACAACGAACTGACAGGGAACACTATAGAAGACAGGGATGTATACATACAAAACTAATCATAAAGAAAAGACACAGCTGGAGAAGGCAGAGAAAAAACACAAGGGCAGAAGGTCAACAAAATCAGACAATCACACAGGCGGGAAAATACAAAGACATGAAGTAAAACAAGACAAGACACAAGGAGAAAAGGCATTTAAACATAAAAAACTAAGATGACAGGTGTGGGGAAAATGGTGGAAATGCACTTTGCTGAAGCATGCGTCAGTTGTTTGAAGTTGCACAGGAGTGAGACATTGCAGACAAAATTACCCCTGTAGGGGTGGTCGCAATGTGATGGCGGCACTAAGAATACCATCATACTTTCACATTATACAGAGGGTAATCACAGCAGCTCTAGTGACAGTAGGTTTTTGGATGCTATATAATGTCAGAAATGTGTCTGACTTCTTGCCAATAATTCAAAAATGATCAAAACGTAGTTAATATATAGTAATACAGCAACCAAGCTTTTGATTTCTTAGCAGTCTTCAATTGTTTTTGGTAAAGGGAAAAAGCTTTACTTTTGCTAGCAAAGCTCAAGCTATTCCAATACAGGATACCTTTTAAAGGCTTAAATAGGATGACGTCTGCAACTGTAAATCCATGACATGACAACATGTCGGATTAATCCCTAGCATACAGTGCAGACTGAGTCAGGTGGAATTGAGTCATCCTGTCTTTATACTTTTCCTCCTCCTTTAACATTTGCCTTTCTCTGCTTTATGTCTTTGTGCCATCTGCAGCGTCTGCAGGAGCTTCACCTGCAGGAGAACAGCATAGAGCTGCTGGCTGAGCAGGCTCTGTCTGGCTTGTCATCTCTGGCTCTGTTGGACCTCAGCAGAAATCACCTCCGCACCCTGGGGGCTTCGTCACTCAAACCGCTTGTTAGCCTGCAGGTGCTCCGTGTCACAGGTAGGCAGAGCGTGAACAGAATACCTAAACACATAATGTCTGACTGTAATATGCCATAACCCTCCAAGATGTATTGGAATTCAAAGTGCCTTGAAAAATGCTTCCAAACCACAACTTTGAAGAACTGGCTGCTTGCTCATGTCAATGAAAATGAAGTGCCTTTAAAAATGTTTTATCTATCAAAGGGTTTCATCAAGCCATAATCCTTTAATGAAAGAGTAATCCCTCAAAGACATCATTTTAAAGAAAAAATTAAAGGCACACTGTCTACAAAAGAGACCTCCTGTTGAGGGCAATTAGTCCTGCAATGGACGCCAAAAGAGCTCAAAATAATTTTAAATAATAATGAGAAAAATACATATGTGTACCTATGCCTTAGGGTAAATTTAGCAGCTGTTCTGGGACTTTCAGCCTTATCACATGAGTTTGCTCAGTTGTTTAAGACCTTCAAAATGTTATATCTTGTGCACTACAGGAACGTTAACCCAAGTAAGGGCACTGTCACACATGCACACAAGCAAGGCAATGTTTTTGTTAACCCTTAACTAGCACAGAATGGAAGTGAACATGAGGCGAATGTTAATTGAGCCAATTTGTGACCTTGCTTGAAAAGTTGAAATTGGAAGAAAAATGAACACCAACATCTAGGTCCATTTAACATATTTTTCGGAGCTTTGTACCGAATGATATTCATCAGCTGTTTTCATGGAGTTTGTTCTATAACCAAGGGATTCTCTGCCATACAAGTTCAAACTAGGGATCCAAAGTTGATTAATGTCACTGGAAACAGCAGTTGACAAAACCATTCACTTGGTTAACTTTGTCTTTTCCATTCCTCATCTCCAGAAAACCCATGGCGCTGTGATTGCGCTCTCGGCTGGCTGAGAACCTGGATCAGCGAAGACGGACAGCGTCTTCTGAGCTCTGCCGAACAGCGGCGGCTGATGTGCTCTGAACCTCCTCGCCTCTCCCACCTCAGCCTGGTGGAGGTGGCTCCCAACAGTCTGGTCTGCATCCCACCTGTAGTGCAGCTGGAGCCAAGCCACCTGACTGTGCGATTAGGGGAGAGCCTCCGAGTCTCCTGCCAGGCCTCAGGATACCCTCAGCCCCAAGTGACCTGGAAGAAAGCCTCCCATGGCAAGGCCCAGTTATCACCTCGAGGCCTGGTTCAGGAGCTGGGACCCAATGGGGAACTCTTCAGGCCTGGAGCTGGAGGAGTGGTTACAGCCTTGCCCAGCAGTGGAGGGATCAAGATTGGAGGTGTTGGAGGAATCCAGGGGCTTGTGCGTGGGACCGAGGAGGGCGGCGAGAGGGACAGCTTTGATCCGGACATGGGCAGCGGCATGCTGTTCCTCAGCAACGTGACTGTTGCACATGCTGGGCGTTACGAGTGTGAAGCCTGGAACCCCGGTGGTGTAGCCAAAGTCACCTTTCATCTGGCTGTCAACATGTCTTCTTCTTCATATTCATCCCAGTTCTGGCCACGTTTGAACATGCAATCCGTTGTTTCCTCTTCATCTAGCTCCTTCTTTCAGCCAGAGGTTCTGGACGTTAGCCAGGAGCTGCTCTATGAACAGGACAGCATGGACTTCTATGCTCTTGGCCCTGCTACGCAGACCGCCATTGCTGTTGGTATCTCCTTGCTGGCACTAACTGCCGTTCTCCTGTTGATAATGATCTACACTCGTCACCAGCAGTTCCGCAAAGAAGAAGGAGGGTCCTACTGTACCAGCAAGGAAGAGAGCATCCTCTATGTGAACGACTATTCTGACGGACCCACCACGTTTGCGCAGCTCGAAGAGTACCGCGACGACCACGGCCACGAGATGTATGTTCTCAACAGAACCAAGCCTGTCATTGGCTCCACTTCATCCAGGTGTCCCATGATGAGCGGGTTTGTCCAGCAGAAGGGTATGAAAGAGGCTCTCCTGGACCACGAAATGGTGCAGACACTGACCAGATCAGGGGGGATGGGGCTTCGCAAAAACCCCGCGGACGGAAATGAGGGACCCCTTACAGCAGACCCTGAGGAGCTCTTCCTCAGTCAAAGTCTACTCTTCGGATCACAGGTTGCTTATGAAATCCATTGCTAAAGGGTTTAATAATGTTCAAATATGAACCAATATGTTGATGGACTTGAATAAAGACATAAAGGACCTTGGTGCAATGATTTGAAGCATTGGATTATTATGTGGTATCAGTTAGTGGTTGTTGAGGGGAACCTGGATCACAATCAGCATCTCAGAGAATCTCATCTGATTGATTGTATTACACTAATGGCGAATTTCCACTACAGCGCGGAGCTCGCTTTAAGCGTGCCGTGCCCGGCCCGTTTTTGGTTGAGTTTACACTTAGCGTAGTACCGGCTAGCGGGTAATATTTCATCGTTTTTCTGGCCCCATAAAATCGAGGTTCTTTCCGGGCCAACAACCAGGATGAGTCGGGCTGAGTATGCTAAACTAGAGAGAGAATCGCTGGCAAGGGGGCTACAACTACAACAAGATGAACATATTTGACCCTGATTTAATTGTAATACACATTTCAAAATGATGCCGAAGTAAAAAAAAGAGGCGAAAAACCTTTTAAAATGCGTGTTTTCTGAATGGAGATCGGCTAAGGTAACGCCGTGTATGCTCCGACCGTCCACACTCACAACAACGGCCTACAGACATAAATAAAGCAGCGACTGTATTCACCATGACACAGACAATCTGTGGTTTGTACTTGTTTAACTTCTAGTTTCTGAACAGATATGAGGAGCTGTGAGCTTGAGTGCTAACAGCTAACGGCTGATGTTGGTTTTCTGTGGTTCGCATTGAAGATGACGTCACGGCTCCGCCTACACTGCGTTACTATAGTTACTGCCCCAGCAGTGAGCCTGGCCTACCAAGGCCTAACGAGGGCTAGCCATACCAAGCGAGGCCGAGCGAGGCCCTGTAGTGGAAATGCGCCATAAGATGGGTCGGAGGGATGAACAGTGATAATTAGGGAATTTAACAACTGAACCATATCAATCTGTGTCCAAATCAACCCTTTAAAGATCATTATAAGTGGCTAACTTTATTAGAAATTGTTTGGATAACGGTTCATCTATATCCTCACAAAAGAGGCTGAGACTGTGAAGTGGAAACTAACAATACGGATTAAAACAGTGAGTCTTATTTTGTTCTTCTTTGTAGGTTCTGTTTTGTGTGTTTTGTCAGTATTCTGTGTAAATATAATGACGCTAATTTTCACTGTGTAGTGCCGATGTTTTGTGGACCATATTGCAAATCCCACTAGAATTAGACCTAAACTGATACTCCTACTGAAACTACATGTTCAATACCCATATGTTCGAGTGGGCGTGTGCTGGTGTATTTGTTTCAAGAGGTTAATTTTGAAGGCAGCATTAATTTCTAACATAGCATTGTATTTGTTCATGTTAACATGTTTTCTCTACTTATTTGTTCAGTAGGCCTACTAGAACAAGGAATTAACATTTCTATTGTCTGAAATGAAATCTTTGGTGAAATTAATTCCATTAACATTGCTCTGTAACAACCGTTCCAACGAGAATATTGTACACTATATCTTGGGTTTCTACATAATAAAAATGTATTTTGAAAGATTCACTGCTTCCTTTCTTACAAGGTCAGTTCTAACTCAGCTGTTCTGCTCATTCTATCGTCACACTGTGCTGTAAAGCGTATTGCTTTTCTCTGCCTTCTTATTCTCCCTCTCAACCCATGACATGTAGCTGGTGAGTGTGATAGATATTTTTTCTAGAGACTCACTCTCACTCGGTGTGTATAGATCAGCCTTTGAGAGGTCTGTGTTTCACAACTCAGGTATGCTTTCAGTGCTACTTGTCGACAAAAATAGTAGAACGCAACAGGAAATGTGTTTGAAAACACAAAATCTGTTACCTACTATACCTACTATAGTCCTAAAGCCATATTGATTTGAACTTTTTAAAAAAAATCAATAAATTAATTGAATAACATTTATTTGTATGGAGGTCTTAGTAACTGTATTAATACCACTGTTCCACAATAACTCAACAAGAAACACAACTGAAGGGCATGTTAAACCTTAACACATTTGAGTTACTAATAAAACTGTAATTGGCACTGTTCACTAGCATCCCCAAAATACCAGTATGTTAAGCGGGGAAAAACATTGAACACAACACTTTATCTTCAACCAGTTTTTTTATAGTGATACATTTCCATGTTCAATTGCTGTCAATTTAACAGTCCTATTTACACAGAGATATGGTATAACAATTGGTTGTACAGTCCAGATAAGCTAATAGACATCTAAGTTAAATGAATAGTTAAACATTTTCTTAAACTTTGTTTCTAAGATATCCCAGTGTCAAACATGTGTTTATAGATTTGAATGGTAATAAAAGCACAAACAAAGTAGGCTACTCAAAGTGCTTGGTTAGGATTTAGGGTTAGGGTTATGGGTTAAGGTTAGGGTTTTGGGGAACGTGCGGCACTCCGTAGGAGCGCAGCGTGGTGCACGGGCTCTCGGGTCAATATTTTGTGTTTAAAAACCTAATTAAAAATTCCTGAGTAAAACCAATAAAAGTTTATAAAAGCCCTGTTTGTTCTGGGTTAAAAATGTTTTTAAAAAATTGAATAAAAGGGATAAAAGAGAGCAGCGGCTGCATGGGGCGGGGTTAAAACCTGTACTCCTGCCCCCCCGAGGGGGTCTACCCCGGTGGAGTGTCCGAGGCTGCGTCCCAAAGCATCTGGTAAAAGACCTGGTAAGTGGGTTAAAAAACATCTGGCTAAAAGGACCGAGGTTGACTTTGTTTAAAATCGACATGCAGGTCAAATTAATGTTAAAATGTGATAAAATAAATACATAAAAGTGCTTTTAAAAATAGGTGCTTTTAAAAATACTCTGTCACCAAACTTCCTTTGCTACTGTCAAAAATACTAAAGCCACTAGAAACAAAAAATATACCGAAATGTGAGCTTTTAAAGCCTCCTTGCATAGATTACCTACACCTGATGTTTTGTTGGTGAGGACTGGTTATATAAATATGTTGAATCATAAAAGTCATGCAAACGTATCTTAAGAAATATGCTTTGCTTTATTTTAGAAAGGTAGATAAATCAGCTGATAAGCCTAGCTTATCTCTTTGTTTCATTTGTTCACAAACAGTAATGTACAAACAACTCATTGTGAGTTTAGGGTTAGGGTTACCCTATCAGAATTAAGCTTCACAAAGAGATGCTTTTCAACTACGTTTTATATATTAAACCTTTGCATTGAATGTCAGAAAACACATAGTCTCAATAGTAGCCTAAAAGCAGACAGCTGAGCTTATGTATATAGAAGCCCATGCATCTTAGCAACACAATAACACAGCTGCAGATGTATTATTCAATAAAATGAGAAATGTGCTTATTGCGGTTGGCACATTGATTTCCTTCTGTGATTCAATTCTCAGGCTTTGTCAATACATGCCCAACACATCCTTGCTTACAATGGTTGCCATGGACACAATGGAAAAAACTAAAAATGTCCAATGTGATTGGTATTTGGAGGTGTGTATGATATTTTTGTACAACCCCTACCACTGCATACATGCTGAGAGTACTAAACTGTTGTTTGTCATTTGTATACAGCGTGCACCTCCTCTAATCACTCCACATTATTTTTCAAAGATCCTCACCAGTGTACCTACAGGCGTGTTGATTAGAGCCCTCCATAATTGATTTAGCAACCTGAAAATTATGCAGAAATAATACTAATGATAGCAGTAGTGTCGAAATCAAGGTTGTAATGCACTGTTGCTGCTAAAAGCACCCTAATAAGAAGCCTTACACTTCACAAAAAGCAGTAGCACTCTAATGCCGCATAAGTTATAGTATGTGGGATATGTAGGTGGATTATTCAACCATTTCTGATGCAGTAACGGGTCTATGGCCAATGATTTAAAAATGTATGTTTCTGAAAAGCTTGTTGTAGAGCTTTATTTAAAATATGATGAGTGTTGCTTACAGATTTTAATGTTGGGTCGTACAACCATTCAAGGAGAGTCTATGATACCTGTCAACAGTTCATATACTCCTTCATAAAAAAAAGAAGAAGCAACACATATGTCAATAACACTTTAAAATGATAATATGCATTTACCATACATGTTAAGCCTGTTTTTCAGGTTTCAGGCTCGAAAATGACATTCCCAGAACAAATGACCATATCTTCCCTTCTAAAAGGGTTAAATTAATAATATTTTTTCTCAAAGTAATGATAAACCTGTGAGTTGGATGTAGAAAAGTCAGAATCAAGATGTTTTTTATTTTAAAGAAAATTGAGATTGAACATGGTAAAAAACTGTACATTATAGTGTCCGTCCAAAAAATATGTTGTACTTATAGTGAAAACTAACCTTGGATGATGGGTTAGTAGACTAAAAGCTTTAGGAATCCAAAGTACAACATATAATAAGTACCCTGTATCAAGATTGATGCAAAACAAGTGATATTTGACCTTTTTGGACAGAATTAGAAAAAAAACCCTCTTCTGGGGCCATTTGGGTGGATTTGACCTATCTCTGGCCCCCCTTGTTCGATTTTGACATGTGACATCTCTTCCTTACGGTGGCCCTGAAGTGCAAAACACCACAGCATTTCAGAAAACACTACAGCATTTCACAAAACACCACAGCATTTCACAAAACACTACAGCATTTCAGAAAACGCTGCAGTATTTCAGAAAACGCCACAGCATTTCAGAAAACACAACAGCATTTCAGAAACACCACAGCATTTCACAAAACGCCACAGCATTTCACAAAACACAACAGCATTTCAGAAAACACCACATCATTTCAGAAAACACCACAGTATTTCACATTGGACGGAAAGGGTATTCCTTTAGGAAGAACACTTCTTGTTTGTGATTGGACAGAGCCAGCCAGAGAAGCACTGCTGTAATTGGTTGTTTTTGCTGCCAGTCAAGAAATGACGCTTCGTGATTGGTCAACACCCGACAGCGAAATATGTCCCAACACATCAGCCGTTAGCACACACTCAGAGCTCACAGCTCCTCGTATCTGTTCAGAAACTGGACACAAGTTAAACATGTACAAACCACAGACTGTCTATGTCATGGCGAATACAGTCGCTGCTTATTTATGTCTGTATGACGTTGTTGTGAGTGTGGACGGAGCAGCAACAGGTTAGTTTAGCCTGATGGGTCGCTTGCGTCTCTACTCATGCAATCTTGTTGCAGAGCGTAGGAATATCCCTGCTCTGATTTCTGGAAACGGAAAAGCAGTTTGTATTGCTTATGGATTATCAGAACATTTCAAGGGGGACACAGACACATTGGATTAACCTATGGATTAACTACACCATCATTTTTATCGTTTTAATGCCATTGAAGACCAGTTTTGACCAGACAAAGATCAAGGTAAACCATGTTAGCGTTTTGGGCTACCTAGCGCCACATGTTTTGATGTAGGTTTTGGTTATTTTCTCCAC